CAGGGATGAGTTTGATGGAAGACAATTATTTTCATGGACTGGGTTTTGGTGGGGGCGGTGATGGTTTCAGGATGGGTCACATGCATTACATTTATTGTGTACTTTATTTCTATTATTACTTTTTTATCCCTTTTTTCAAATTATACTTTAAGTTCGGGGATACCTGCACAGAATGTTCAGGTCACATACTTATACATGTGCCATGGTGATTTGCTGCACCCATCAACTCATCATCTACATTAGGTATTTCTCCTAATGCTATACCTCCACTATCCCCCTGAACCCGATAGCCCCTGGTGTGTGCGTGATACTCCTTTCCCTGTGTCCGTGTGTTCTCATTGTTCAAATCATTTATGAGTGAGAACATGCGGTGTTTAGTTTTCTGTTCCTGTGTTAGTTGGCTGAAAATGATGGTTTCCAGCTTTATACATGTTCCTGAAAAGGACATGAACTCATCCCTTTTTATGGCTGCATAATAGTCCATGGTGTATATGTACCACATGTTCTTTATCCAGTCTATCACTGATGGGCAGTTGGGTTGTTTCCAAGTCTTTGCTGTTGTGAACAGTGCTGCAATAAATATGTGTGTGCATATGTCTTTATAGCAGAATTATTTATAATCCTTTGGGTATATACCCAGTAATGAGATTGCTGGATCAAATGGCATTTTTCATTCCAGATCCTTGAGGAATCACCATACTTTCTTCCACAATGGTTGGACTAATTTACACTCCAACCAACAGTATAAAGGCATTCCTATTTCTCCACATCCTCTCTAGCATCTGTTGTTTCCTGATTTTCATGATATTGATTCTTCCTATGCATGAGCATGGAATGCTTTTCCATTTGTTTGTGTCCTCTCTGATTTCCTTGGGCAGTGGTTTGTAGTTCTCCTTGAAGAGGTCCTTCACATCACTTTTAAGTTGCATTCATAGGTAGCAATTGTTAATGGGAGTTCACTCATGATTTGGCTGTATGTCTCTTGTCTATTCTTGGTGTGTAGGAATGCTTGTGATTTTTGCACATTGATTTTGTATCCTGAGATTTTGCTCAAGCTGCTTATCAGCTTAGAGAGATTTTAGGCTGAGACAATGGGGTTTTCTAAATATACAATCATGTCATCTGCAAACAGATACAATTTGCCTTCCTCTCTTCTTATTTAAATACACTTTCTTTCTTTCTCTTGCCTTATTGCCCTGGCCAGAACTTCTAATACTGTGTTGAATAGGAATGGTGAGAGAGGGCATCCTTGTCTTGTGCTGGTTTTCAATGGAATGCTTCCAGCTTTTGCCCATTCAGTATGATACCAGACAATACTTTTTTATTGATATATATTGAAATTTATTGATCCTTTTTCTCTTCCGTCAGTGTTAGTGTCTGCTGATTTTTCCTCGTCATTTGAGTTAATGTTTCTAGTTACAAAGACTTATTTTGTATTGCATTGTAGAAATCTGAGGTATTATAATATGACTCAGTTTCCTATTTAAATGTCATGACTGTCAAGTGAGGATGGTAGTCAGGCCTGTGTTCACACACATAATCTCTGCAGATATCTAGCAGCCAGGAGGAGCTAGAGATGAGAGGCTTTACTTAACCCCTGCAGATGCCCACCAGTCAGGAGGGGAACTGTCTCCCTGTTACCACCTTGGGATGGTAGCCAGGCTCTGCTCATACACCCAGCCTCTGCAAATGCCTACCAGACAGGAGACAAAGCTACTTCCTCACTATAGAGGTGGGGTAGAAGCCAAGGCTCTGGTCAGATAGTTGCAGTGCTGGTAGCTGTGCACAGTGGAGCGAGGGAGGGATAGAGTGACTCTTCCTATTTGAATACCCTTTCTTGCCTGATTGCTCTGGCCAACTTCCAATACCATGTTGAACAGGAATGGTCAGAGAGGGCATCCTTGTCTTGTACCGGTTTTCAAAGGGAATGCTTCCAGTTTTTGCCTGTTCAGTATGATATTGGCTGTGAGTCTGTCATAAATAGCTCTTATTATTTTGAGGTATGTTTTATCAACACCTAGTTTATTGAGAGTTTTCAGCATGAAGGGATGTTGAATTTTATCAAAGGCCTTCTCTGCATCTATTGAAATAATCATGTGGTTAATGTCATTTTTTTTATGTGATGAATTACCTTAGTGATTTGCATAGGTTGAAACTATCTTGCATCCCAGGATGAAACCTTTCCATATTTTTCCTTTCCAAATTTAGTGCTTCCTTCAGGATCTTATCGGGGTAGATAAGCTTTTTGATGTGCTGCTGGATTTGGTTTGCCAGTATTTTATTGAGCATTTTTGCATCAATGTTCATCTGGGATATTGGCCTGAAATCTTTTTTCGTTGTGTGTCTGCCAGGTTTTGGTATCAGAATAATGTTGTCCTCATAAAATGAGTTAGGGAGGAGTCTCTCTTTTTCTATTGTTTGGAGTAGTTTCAGAAGGAATGATACCAGCTCCTCTTTGTACCTCTGGTAGAATTCAGCTGTGAATCCATCTGGTCCTGGGCTTTTTTTGGTTGGTAGGCTATTAATTACTGCCTCAATTTCAAAACGTCTTATTGGTCTATTCAGGGATTAAAATTCTTCCTGGTTGAGTTTGAGAGGGTGTATGTGTCCAGGAATGTATCCATTTCTTGTAGATTTTCTAGTTTATTTGTGTAGAAATGTTTATAGTATTCTCTGATGGTAATTTGTATTTCTGTGTAATCAGTGGTGATTTCCGCTTTATCATTTTTATTATGTCTGTGTGATTCTTCTCTCTTTTCTTCTTTATTAGTCCAGCCAGCAGTCTATTTTGTTAATCTTTTCAAAAACCCAGCTCCTGGATGCACTGATTTTTTTTGAAGGTTTTTTGGTGTCGGTATCTCCTTCAGTTCTGCTCTTATCTGTTTCTTGTCTTCTGCTACCTTTTGAACTTGTTTGCTCTCATTTCTCTATTTCTTTTAATTGTAATGTTAGGGTGTTGATTTTTGATCTTTCCCACTTTCTCTTGAAGGCATTTAGTGGTATAAATTTCCCTGTAAACACTATTTTACCTGTGTTCCAGAGATTCTGGCACGTTGTGTCTTTGCTTTCATTGGTTTCAAATTATTTATTTATTTCTGCCTTAATTTCATTTTTTACCCAGTAGTTATTCAGGAGCAGATTGTTCAGTTTCCATGTAGTTGTGCCGTTTTGAGTGAATTTCTTAATCCTGAGTTCTAATTTGATTGTACTGTGGTATGAGAGACTGTTTTGATTTCTTTTCTTTTGCATGTGCTGAGGAGTGTTTTACTTCTAATTATGTGGTCAGTTTTATAATAAGTATGATGTGCTGAAAAGGGTGTATATTCTGCTGATTTGGGGTGGAGAGTTCTGTGGATGTCTGTTAGGTCTGCTTGGACCAGAGGTGAGTTCATTTTCTGAATATACTTGTTAATTGTCTGTTTTGTTGATCTGTCTAATATTGACAGTGGGGTGTTAACAGTCTCCCACTATTATTTTGGGAGATTCTAAGTCTCTGTAGGTCTCTAGGAACGTGCTTTATGAATCTGGGTGCTCCTGTATTGGGTGCAATTATATTTCAGATAGTTCTTCTTGCTGCATTGATCCTTTTACCATTATGTAATGCCCTTCTTTGTCTTTTTTGATCTTGGTTTGTTTAGTCTGTTTTATCAGAGACTAGGATTGCAAACCCTGATTTTATTTATTTATTATTTATTTATTTTGCCTTCCATTTGCTTGGTAAATATGCCGCCATCCCTTTGTTTTGAGCCTATGTGTATCTTTGCATGTGAGATGGGTCTCCTGAATACAACACACTGATGGGGCTTGACTCTTTATCCAATTTGCCAGTCTTTGTCTTTTAATTGGGGCATTTAGTCCATTCACATTTAAGGTTAATATGGTTATGTGTGAATATGATCCTGCCATTATGATACTAGCTGGTTATTTTGCCCATTAGTTGATGCAATTTCTTCATGGTGTTGATGATCTTTACAATTTGGTATGTTTTTGCAGTGGCTGGTACCAGTTTTTCCTTTCCATATTTAGTGCTTCCTTCAGGATCTCTTATATGGCAGACCTGATGGTGACAAAAATTTCTCAGCATTTTCTTCTCCATAAATGATTTTATTTCTCCTTCACTTATGAAGCTTAGTTTGGCTGGATATGGAATTCTGGGTTCAAAATTGTTTTCTACGATTATTGAATATTGGCCCCCACTCTCATCTGGCTTGTAGGGTTTCTACCAAGAGATCTGCTGTGAGTCTGATGGGCTTCCCTTTGTGGGGAACTCGACCTTTCTCTCTGGCTGCCCTTAACATTTTTTCCTTCATTTCAACCTTGGTGAATCTGATGATTATGTGTCTTGGGGTTGCTCTTCTTGAGGAATATCTTTGTGGTGGTCTCTGTATTTCCTGAATTTGAATGTTGGCCTGTCTTGCTAGGTTGGGGAAGTTGCCCTAAATAATATCCTGAACAGTGTTTTCCAAATTGGGTTCCATTCTCCCTGTCACTTTGAGGTACACAAATCAAATGTAGGTATAAGGCTGGCTGCCTTGCAGAGGGTTAAACGGACACATCCATCTCTCTCCGCACCTGACAACTACGTCATTACCCAAGCTCGTTATCTGGCCTCACCACATGACTTCCCTGCACCCACCTCTGCATACCATACCAAAGCCCACACACAGCACTAAATTATGCATCCAACCCCCAGCCTGCTGTTGAAAAACCCTGCAGAAAATTTTTTAAACAAGCCCCACCAAACCCTGCCCCTGGTAGCAGTCTGCCCTGTACGCCCCCAGCAGGCCCACTTACCCAAGGCCCTGCCCGCCTACCAATGGCAACTAGCTCCAGGTATTTCCTGCTTCTCAACAGCCAATAAGATTGCCTTCGCATTATTTCCCCAATAGCAAATCAAGGCCCACTTACCCAAGGTCCCACCTGCCTACCAATGGCAACTAGCTGCAGGTATTTCCTTCCTCTCAACAGCCAATAAGATTGCCTTCGCTTTGTTTCCCAATAGCCAATCAATTGCCTTCCCTCCACATAAAACCCCAAGACCTGAACACCTGGGCGTGACTTCTTTGGCCTCTTCCTGGACCACAGAACTTCGCCTGGGAGCTGAATAAATTAGTTTCTCATTTTCTTATACTTGCCTCAGTTTCCTCATCTTACCTCGGCAATAAATCTTACAGTAGGTTTGGACTTTTTACATAGTCCCATATTTATTGGAGGCTTTGTTGTTTCCTTTTTATTCTTCTTTCTCTAATCTTGTCTTCATACTTTATTTTGTTAAGTTGATCTTCAATATCTGATATCCTTTCTTTTGCTTGATCGATTCAGCTGTTGATACTTGTGTATGCTTCATGAAGCTCTCATGCTGTGTTTTTCAGCTCCATCAGATCATTTATGTTGTTCTCTAAACTGGTGATTCTAGTTAGCAATTCCTGTAACCTTTTTTCAAGGTTCTTACCTTCCTTGCATTGGGTTAGGACATGTTCCTTTAGCTTGGAGGAGTTTGTTATTACTCACCTTCTAAAGTCTACTTCTGTCAATTCGTCAAACTCATTTTTCATCCAGTTTTGTTCCCTTGCTGGTGAGGAGTTGTGACCTTTTGGAGGAGAAGAGGTGATCTGGTTTTTAAAATTTTTAGCCTTTTTTCACTTTTTGCTCATCTCTGTGGATTTATCTGCCTTTGGTCTTTGATGTTTATAACCTTCAGATGGGGATTTTGTGTGGACATCCTTTTTATTGATGTTGATGCTATTCCCTTTTGTTAGTTTTCTTTCTAACAGTCAGGCCTCTCTGCTCCAGGTCTGCTGGAGTTTGCTGGAGGTTCACTCCAGACCCTGTTTGCCTTGGTATCACTAGTGGTGGCTGCAGAACAGCAAAGATTGCTGCTGGATCCTTCCTCTGGAAGCTTCATCCCCAAGGGGCACCCACCAGATGCCAGTTGGAGTTCTGTTATATGAGAGGTCCACCAACTCCTACTGGGAGATGTTGCCCCATCAGGAGGCATGGGGTTCAGGGACTCACTTGAGGCAGTTTGTCCCTTAGCAGAGCTGGAGCACTGTGCTGGGAGATCCACTGCTCTCTTCAAAGCCAGCAGGCAGAAACATTTAATTCTGTTGACAGTGTGCCTACAGCTGCCCCATCACCCAGCTGCTCTGTCCCAGGGAGATGGGAGTTTTATCTATAAGCCCCTGACTGGGGCTGTTGCCTTTCTTTCAGATATGCCCTGCTCTGAGAAGAGGAATCTAGAGAGGCAGTCTGTCTACAGTGGCTTTGCAGAGCTGTGGTGGGCCCTGCCCAGTTTGAACTTCCTGGTGGCTTTGTTTACATTGTGAGGGGAAAACTGTCTACTCAAGCCTCAGTCGTGGGGGACACTCCTTCCCACACCTTGCTTGACCATCCCAGGTCGACTTCAGATGACTGTGCTGGCAACAAAAATTTAAAGCCAGTGGATCTTAGCTTGCTGGGCTCCATGGGAGTGGGATCCACTGAGGTAGACCACTTGGCTCCCTGGCTTCAGCGCCCCCTTTCCAGAGGAGTGAAAAGTTCTGTCTCATTGGCATTCTAGGAGCCACTGGGGTATGATAAAAGAAAACTCCTGTATCTAGCTCAGTGTCTGCCCAACTGGCCACCTAGTTTTGTGCTTGAAACCTAGGGCCCTGGTGGTGTAGGTACCCGTGGGAATCTCCTGGTCTGAGGGTTTTGGAAGAATGGTGGGAAAAGTGTAGTATCTGGGCCAGAATGTACCATTCCTCTCGGCACAGTCCCTCATGGCTTCCCTTGGCTAAGGGAGGGAGTTCTCTGACCCCTTGTGCTTCCCAGTTGAGGCGACACCCCACCCTGCTTTGGCTCACCTTCCATGGGCTGCACCCAGTGTCTAACCAGTGCCAGTGACATAAACCAGGTACCTCAGTGGGAAATGCAGAAATCACCTGCCTTCTGCATTGATCTAGCTGGGAGCTGCAGACCAAAGCTGTTCCTATTCGGCCATCTTGCCCATGAATCTATTATTACATTTTAATAAATAATAAAACAATTTTACAACTGGCCATAATGTAGAATCAGTGGGAGCCTGAGCTTGTTATCCTGCAACTAGGCAGTCCCATCTGTGGGTGACAGGAGATAGTGGCAGATCTTCAGGCATTAGATTCTCATAAGGAACTAGCAACCTAGATCCCTTGCACATGCAATTCACAATAGGGTTCACCATCACAAAAGAATCTAATGCCTATGCTGAACTGACAGGAGGCAGAGCTCATACAGTCTTGTGCATGATGGGGAGTGGCTGTAAATACAGATGAAGCTTTGCTGGTTCACCGCTGCTCATCTCCTATGTGGCCTGGCTCCTAACAGGTCACCAGCAGTGGTCCATGGCCAGGGGGTTGGAGACTTCTGAGGTAGAAGGATTGTATATTATTGTTGGATTGCTGTGCTTAGTTTTATTTTAAATGTTTCAAAATAGCACACTACTTATTTACTTTCCTAAGGTAAGTCATTTTGTAAAAACTCCTTTTCTAATACCAATGATGCTGGATTTCAGTATTACTGCTTTTATATCAGAGGTTCTTAAACTGAGACACCTGTCTATCTAAAGAACTTATTCATAGCATTAGGCAATGGATCAATATTGATGAAGAAATTAACAGAATTCCCAAACTAGTGACCTCTGTGGATCATTTGTCCCATACAATTTTATAAAGATTTCACTTAGTTTTAACTTTTAAAGATTGAAGTTTTCACTGAAAATCAAATTCTCAGTTTATTTTGAAGGACTGCATATCTTCAAAGGCTGAGTTTTGTGTGCATTACTCAGAGGCAGCAATCAGCTAGAATTAAGTGTCCCCCTGTCTTCACTGTAGTTCCCTGTTCTGCCTGCTTGACTCATTCACATTGCCTGTCCCCAGTGGTGTTTGAATTCAAGACATCCAATATAGTCTTATCATTATAGTACTTTAATACATATGATTAAATGATATATCTATATCATTTAAATTATATATATATATATATATATATATATATATATATATATATATATATGATAACTTGCTATTTAGATATCCCCATAGGTTGTGAAATGATCACCACAGTTAAGCTTTTTGGTGAAAATATTTAAGATCTATTCTCCTAGTAAACTTTCATGTATACTGTGTAGCAGAGAGTAGAATAGTGGTTACCAAGGTCTGTGGGCTGGGGAAAATGGGAAGATGTTGGTCAAAAGGTACAAAGTTTCACTTCTGCAGATGAATAACTTCTGGAGAGCCAATGTGCAACATAGTGACTGTAGTTATCAATGGACCACTTTTAAAGGTTGAATCAATTCAGATGAAAAACTGATGCAAATAATACCCATTTTGCTTTTGTTTTATTCTTTCTCTTTTCTAATCAGTATTTGTAATTAACCTGTGTTTTTACTGTTCAATAAATTTGGCTAAAATAGTTCAATGATTATCTGGAGATTAGTCTTTAAGTAGGTACTTTTATTTTTTAAGAGGTGGTCTTTCATACAAACTTAAAAGACTATATTCTTTTAAAAAGGGCTTCTAATTAAAAATATTGTCCTTGGATTTCTCAGTAGAAAATATTGAGAAAGTTATGGGCTACAGGATTATATAAAATTTTGGAAAATTCACTGATGATTAAAATTTAGCATAGAAAGAATACATGTGAATAGTTCAATAGAAAAAAATAGAAAACCTATATAAAGCAAATCAGTCACAGGTTTAAAACAAAAGATGTTTTACAAAAGGACTTATACTTCTTTTTATGAATATGCTAATTTTCTGAGTTCTTAAAAATAAAAACAGCCTTGGATATAATGCTTTAGAACTTGTAAAGCATAGCTGCATATATTTTATCTTTATTTATTTATTTTTGAGACAGTGTCCTGCTTTATCCCCCAAGCTAGAGTGCAGTGACATGATCTTGGCTGACTGTAACTTCTGCCTCACAGGCTCAGGTGATTCTCCCATATCAGCCTCCTGAGTAGCTGGGACTATAGGCATGCACCACCACCTTCAGCTAATTTTTATATTTTTAGTAGAGACGGGGATTCATCATGTTGGCCAAGCTGGTCTCAAACTCCTGGCCTCAAGCAATCAGCCCACCTTGGCTTCTCAAAGTGCTGGGATGACAGACATGAGCCATTGTGCCTGGCCTATTTATCATTTTATTTTAAAAACAGATTTGTGTAAAATGGATAATAAATATTTTTCCCTTTTTAGAGATGCATAAACTAAGTCTCAGAAATGTTTTGAATTGCTTGTTAGAAGTCATACAACTAGCTAATAGTAGAGCCAGACGTAGAACTCTAGTTTGACTTTCACCCAGAGCTCTTTCAACTATATTACCCAGGCCTTCAATTTGCAATAGACTCTTTTCCAAAGTAACACTGAAATAAAATGTCTAGTCCCAAAGGTGCTACAATGCTAAAATATGAGATGGGATTTAAATTAATTGTCACGTTCTGTGGTAAAGAAATGAAAATATTATTCAGTTTTAACCTTTGAGAGAAATTTAAATAAACTCAGCCAAATACTTGGGGAAAATTCCACAAAACTACTCCATGGAAGGTGATTAAACTTAGCCAAACCATGAGCAATGTCTTCCTACTATTTAAAGTGGAAACCATACTACTGTGGTACTTTGTGTGCCATTTCTAGGAATGCATTTTTGTATCATTCTGAGTTGCAGTCATGGTTTGCTAAGAATATCTTGTCCACTTTTTAATTGCTTGAGCAAATAGAAAACAAGTTTTGCAGAAGTCAGACTAATAGTCACCTTAGATTTCCTGGTTCTCATGTCTTTTATGAATTGACTAGTATAAATGAGCAGTGACCACAAAACTGTATTGCATCTATTCCCACTCTTTCAGAATCTTAAGACCCATGTTGTCTAGTACAGTGGGTAAGAGTTTGTCTTCTGAGATAAGACATTTCTAGGTAAAAACCTAACTTTCTGTTTTCCAGCTATGTGGGTAAGTTGCTTAATCTTTTTAAGATTCCTCCATTCATTTCTTATTGAATGCATACCATATGCTATGAAATATGTTAGATGCTAATGACCTGACAGTAAACAAAGAAGACAAAAATATCTGTGCTGATGGAGATTATATTTTAGTGCCTCAATAACACTGAATGTAAAATGGAGATAAAAGTGATGTGTTATTTCCTGGATAATTCCTGCGATTTTATAAAATTAGTCAGCCTAGGTGTACAGTTGTGCACATTAAAGGCTCTACTCTCCACTTAAAGCAGGTTAAAGAAGGGATTCAAGACCAGTATAAACGCCTATGTAATTAAGCTATGACACTTACTGGCCTGCAGGAAGTAAAATAAATGGTGAAAACCCATATAGGGTCCAGGAAAGGAAAATATGCTATAAATGAAAAATGTTAATTCAGCCTTTATTTTTTTAAACTTTGATTTTGAAATCTTTTTTTTACTTACAGAACAGGTGCAAAGATAGCACAGAGAATTTTAGTATACCCTTCCTATATTAATATTTTAGTATATTAATCAACATTAATATGTTATGAATCTAGATAACAACAGCATATTAACAAAACCAAGAAATTAGCATTGATAAAATGCATTAAGCAAACTGCAGGCTTTATAGTATAGGCCAATTTTGTTGTTGTTGTTTGTTTGTTTGTTTTACTAGTGTTCCTCTTTTGTTTCACGATTCAATCCTGGGTACCATATTGCAGTTTGTTTCCTAAGTCTGTTTCAATCTGTGTCAGCATATTATTTATTCTTTATGTTTCATGAATTTGGCAAATTTGAAAAGTACTCGTTAGGTAGAATGTTTCTTAAGTTGGCTTTGTTTGAAATTTTTTTTCCCAATAATTAAAGCTGTAAATTTTGGCAAGAGTAATACAGAAGTAATGTAATGTCAGAATATCATATGGAGGGGTACAAAATATTGACTTACTTCTAGCAATGTTAATCCTGATAACTTGGTTAAGAAGTTGTCTGCCAGGTGCCTCTTTTGCAATTAGAAATATCTTGGGGGTAGATATTCCTAAATTTCGAAGGTTATACCTTGAGATAGTACCTTGAGACTATGCAAATACTCTGTTTTTCCCCAAGCTTTTGCTCGTTAATTTTAGCATTCATTGTTAGAACTTGCTTGCAATAATTATTATAGTGTTCTAATGGTGATCATTACAATGGCCTCATCCCTTCTACAATTATAATTGGAATTCTTCTGTAGGAATGAACTATCTCTTCTATTTCATTTGTTTATTCATTGCATTATGATTAGCTTTGGATATTTATTTATGGGGATATTTATTCTACATAATAGTTATAATCCAATAATATTTCACTTATTTTTGCCCAGATAATTCCAGTTTTGGCCATTGGGGAAGATTTTCAGCTTGGCTCTTGTGTCCTTTTGACATAAGCCTATTCTTTTCTGAGTACGTCCTTACTTCCTGGCACCACAAGATGTTTTTAGTTATAGAGGCAGTGAGATCCTTTAAGAATGTAATACATGTAAAGTGTTTGCATATTTTTTAAAAGCTAAAACCAGGAAAAGATTATCTTCCGAGACTATCACAGAAAGTTTAATGTCAATGAATGTCTCTGTTCCAAAATTGTACCAAACACTTACCTGTTTTCAAGCTAAGTTAATCCTGTTGAAAAAACTGAGTATTCCTATCACTGCACTCTATGTGAGAATGATGGCTTAAGTATGTCTGTAAGCACTGGCATTTAAATAATTTTTGAATTCTACTTCCTTCCCTGACCTGGTGGAAATATCATAGCATCTAATGTGCAGCAATGTGTACTTTGGGACATAAAATGAATGAGGAGAATTTTATTCACTTGATGTTGCTTACTAACACTCCTTAGTTCTGCTGGATCAGGAAGGATGAGGTCAAGCCAAATAAACTGCTATTTCCAGAAGTCTGTAAGTGGACTTTTTGGCTCTTTTATATCTTAAGAGAATGAGAAAAACACACCCACGCTGCAGAAGAGAGGCTGTAGTGTGATTTGCCTGTAGTCTGTATCTTCTTCTAGAATAGAGGTCAGGCTAGCTACAACCCATTGGCCAATTCTAGTCAGCTGCCTGTTTTTAATAGTCCTCAAACTGTTTGTTACATTTTCAAATGGTAATATTTTATAGTTATATAAGCCCCTACATAATATTCAGAATTTTTCTCTTGGCTCTGAAAGCTTTCTATTGTACTCTCTGGCCCTTTAAGAAAATCTTTTCTGGTGTCGTTTCGAAAAGAAGACATCCCTCCTTGCTTTGCAAATGGTATTTCCTCTGCCTGAAATACTCTTCTCTGCTTTGCCCACTTGACTGATGCCTACTTGTCCTTTAAATATCAACCCAAAGATTTCCTATTCTGTCATCATCTCCTGACCTATCACATAGAGTCAAATGTCTCTCTTCTGACCACCTATGCTGTATACTGGCAGTATTAAGGCACAGCTCTTTTCTAATGCAGTGATGTGCTGAACCAGCTGGCAACAGCCAATTATATGCATCTCTTCTCAATTCCAGATTCAGTGATATCACACTAGTGTCCTGTAATTGACCACAGTGGGAATATTTATACCATGGAAATTGGCAAATACCATGAACCAGGGATTTCCCCTTCCCATAGAGAGTAGAGCATTTAATGATACTAGCACACTGCAATTTATCACACTAGTTTTTGTTTATTTAATTTTTACTGTTTTTTTTTCCTGATTTTGCCAGAGATTCTCAGCTACTTAAAGAGTGACTCTGAATTTTATTAATCTTTTGCACCTTATCGTGCCTTAAATAGAAAAAGCAATCATGCTTCTTGAAGTAATGAGAAATTAACTGAGGAATGAATTTTGTCTCTCCAAAAAAAAATTCTGTTCTGTAATTGTTTCTAAATTAAAGGAATAATAATTTAGGGACTTAAAACTACACACATCAAAGACATGTGCTTAAAACAACCGTATTTCAGAGCCTAAATTAAAAAATCAATGACAATGTACATTCAAATAGGAAAATAAGTCAAACTTGCTCTCTTCAATGATGGTATGATTCTATACCTAGGAAACCCTAAAGACTCCACCAGAAGGCTCCTAGAACAGATAAATTACTTCAGTAAAGTTTCAGGATACAAAATAAATGTACAAAAAGCAGTAGCATTTCTATATACCAACAGTGCTCAGGCTAATGGTCAAATCAAGAATGCAATCCCACTTACAATTACCTCCCTTATAGACACACAAAATACCTAGGAATATACCTAACCAAGAGGGTAAAACATCCCTATAAGGAGAACTACAAAACATTGCTGAAAGAAATCAGAGATGACACAAATAGATGGAAGAATATTCCATGCTCATGGATTGGAAGAATCAACATTGTTAAAATGGCCATACCGCCCAAAGCAATTTATAGATTCAACTGTATTCCTACTAAACTACTAGTGTCATTTTTCACAGAACTAGAAAACACTGTTCTAAAATTCATATGGAACCAAAAAAGCCCAAATGGCCAAAACAATCCTAAGCAAAATAACAAAGATGAAGGCAACACATTACCAAACTTCAAACTATCCTATGAGGCTACAGTAACCAAAACCACATGGTCCTGGTGTAAAAACAGACACATAAACCAATGAAACAGAGTAGGGAACACAGAAATAAAGCCCCACCCACTTATAAACAACTACTACAATGAGATACCATCTCACACCAGTTAGAATGGCCGTTATTGAAAACTAAACACATGGCTGGGTGTGGTGGCTCACATCTCTAATCCCAGCACTTTGGGAGGCTGAGGTGGGTGGATCACCTGATATCACAGGTTCGAGGCCAGTCTGGCCAACGTAGTAAAACCCTGTCACTACTAAACATACAAAAATTAGCTAAGCATGATAGTGGGCGCATATAATCACAGTCACTCAAGAGGCTGGGGCTGGATAATTGCTGGAAACCTAGTAGGCAGAGTTTGCAGTGAGCCAAGATCCAGCCTAGGTAACAAGAGAGAAACTCTCTATCTCAATAACAACAACAACAAAAACCAAAAAAACTAAACACACACACACAGATGCTGGCGAGGCTGCTGAGAAAAAAAATAATGCTTATACACTGTTGGTGGAAATGTAAATTAGTTCAACCACTGTAGAAAACAATTTGGAGGTTTCTCAAAGAACTTAAAAAAAAGAACTACCATTCCACCCAGTGATCCCCTTACTGGGTATATACCCAAAGAAAAATAAATTGTTCTACCATAATGACATATGTATTCATAGGTTCATTGCAGTACTATTCACAACAGTAAAGATGTGGATTCAACCTAGGTGTCCATCATTGGTGAACTGGATAAAGCAAATGTGGTAAATATACACCACGGAATACTACACAGCCATGAAAAAGAATAAAAGAGGGTGAAAGATCGCTACAAGGAAAACTACAAAACACTATTAAAAGAAATCAGAGATACACAAATGGCAACCTGGATGCAGCTGGAGGTTATAACGCTGAGCAAATTAATGTAGGAACAGAAAACCCAACCAATACTGCTTGTTCTCACTTATAAGTGGGAGATTAACATTGAGTACACATGGCCATAAAGAAATTATTTTTCTCATCTTTATGAGAACAAGAGTTACAGAACTAGAAAACAACTATTCTAAAATTCATATGGAACCAAAAAAGAGCCCAAATAGCCAAAACAATCCTAAGCAAAAAGAACAAAGCTAAAGGCATCATCATACCCAACTTCCAACTATTCTATAAAGCTACAATAACTAAAACCACATGGTTTTATCATTTTGAGAACAGTAATTATTAGGGACTACTAGAGGGGAGAAGGAGTGAGGGAGTGGAAATGGGGTTGAAAAACTACCTATTGGGTAATATGCTGACTACCTTGGTGACAGAATCAATACCACAAACCTCAGCATCATCCAATATACCCATGTAGTAAATCTGCACATTTATCACCTGAATCAAGTAACAAAAGTCAGAGAATAGAAAGAAATTGAATAACAAAATTTCCAGTTGAAAGAAATGGAATGATAAATTTCCAACTGAGGACATTCTTAAAAATGTTAAGTTCCAGGCTGCCAGTGGCACTTTGAAGTAAATCTTCAGTCATTTTGATTCTTGTCCCAGCTCTTTCTGCTACATTGGGAGTCAACAAAATTAGACCACATTTCTCAAATGTGAGTCTTGTTTCCAATGTCTCCATTTCCTTCATTTTTGTGTTTATATCCTTCACTTAACTCACCTTCCATTCTTTAACTTAGGCAAATAAGCTGGAGGAGAGGTTGTCATAGAGTATCTGCAATAATGTAAACTAGAAAACCAGATTCATTTCCCCACAAATATTGGTGAAAAATGTAAATTAGAAGGAGCGAGAAAGTGAGGAAAATATGTCTTTGTTAAAATTAAACATGCAGGAATGCAGTAGCCTAGTTTACAATCTGGGATGTAACTTCAAAATTTCACTTCTGACTGATGTGCCCTTGTTTTGTACAAAGAAAACATACACACATATTAAGATCCATTCTATGTTAATCAAGGTATTGGCTTTCTTTAGTTTGGCTCTAGGGCTTCTAATAAATGAAACTTCTCAAAAGATAATATAATTTTTGATAAATGTCAGTCAATTCCTTTCAGGACTTCTGGGGACTTCTAAAAACTTTGAGACTCCTGTGTTCCATAGCTGTAAATATAATGTCCATTCTCAAATTTCTTCTTCTTATTTCTAATTGAACTAAGAAAAGATTTTATGGGTATAATATACTACATGTACTTCAAAGTAGAGAAGGTGAGACACATAATTTACATCCAAAGATAGAAAAGTAACAATTAGTTTTAGTGACAGAGGAGAACCCAGAGGGAAAAGTCTATTTCTACAAATAAAAATTAGGACAGTGAAAGAGCTGAAACTGGAAAACGGTGCATGTATGTCTAAATGCAATATCTGAATCTTTCCACAATGTTTCTGAATGGTTTGAAACCTACATTGGCTTTTAACTTTGTTTTGGGCATAGTCCCATCAACTGAGAAAACTTTACAGAATTTATATACTCTGTGTGTGTGTGTGTGTGTGTGTGTGTGTGTGTGTGTGTGTGCGCGCGCGTGCACGCACATTTCCCCTGCCCACCCCAGCAAATGACACACAGTCTGCTCTCCAGAAAAGCATTTTCTCATTGGCTGGTCTATGAAGAGCAATGATTTTTTGCTTTCCCACTGCATTCTAAATAATAATGAATAAGACTAGTAAACATATAAACTGCCTTTATGTTTCCTTGACTGAGTTACCATTATAAAAACTATCTGGAATATGCATTGTTCAGGGTTAAATAAAACTGCTTTCCAGTTTTAAATACAGAAGCTTTTTTGTAGTCCCAATCCTCATAAGTGCTACTAAAACTACTTTGTCAGTGCAGTCCCAAAATCTTCAAGAAGTTCAATAGTCCATGCTGTCTCAAAGTAAATGACAGGCATCCAAGTGATGGTGTTGCCAAGGCAAGAGGGTTGTATTTGGCTCCTCTATTTGAATGACAATCTAGCTACTGTGAAAACCCGGGAATTTGATTTCTGTTATAATTGGATCAGATCTTTCCAGCAGCTCCTTCAAGGGGATATTAGTTTCATATGGAACATTAGTTTCAGTTCTTCTAATTTAAGGCTTTGATTGTACAAACAAATGTTGAAATGCTGATTCTGATCCTGTCATGCTAATAGAATTGGTGACTGGACTTGTATTCAACTGTGTGGAAGACACAAGGGAGTGGGAAATAACTAAATGGCCCATTTACTGGGAAGGCATGGTGATGATGAAAAGATGGTCCAAGATTAAGATTTGCAGGAGATTTGCTTTTATTATTAAATTAATAGGCAGCCTGTATTATCATAAGATTTGAAGTTGCTACTGAGCTGTGAATGATCAAACTGCAGATTTCTTGAGGAAATGTTTTGCAGTGTTAACAACCTACTGAAGATATCTATCCCATCATTATTCTTTATCCACCCTGTGGTTAAGGCTGATGCATCTGAAAAGTATGTGGAATCTTCTTTCAAAATGTATTATATTTGATGACTATGCTGCAGCATATAACTATCCCATTGAGGATGTATCCAAAATTAAACATGACATTTTGCTTTTAAAAAGAAACACACATTTTAAATTTCAGACTACTACTAGATTTATGGAAAAGTTTCAAGGGTAGCATAGAGGTTCAATGTACACTATACTCGATTTCTCCTATTTTTAACATCTTACATTGTATGATACACTTGTCACAAATAATGAATCAATATGAAGGCATAATTATTAACTAAAAGTTGTTCCTCATTCAGATTTTCTTAGATTTTAGTTAATGTCCTTGTTCTCTTCCAGGATATCATTCTGGATACCACATTATATTTAGTTTTCATGTCTCCATTGGCTCCTCTTGGCTCCGAAAGTTCCTCAGACTTTCCTTATTTTTGATGGCTTGACAGTTTTGAGGAGTACTGGTAAGACATTTTTCCGGGAGACCGGTAAGAATGTCCCTCAATTTGTTGACTTTTTTTTTTTTTTAATTCCACTGGGGCTATGGATCTGGGGGGAAAGACCACAGAAATAAGTTTGACATGCAGTAGTTTGACGAGACAGTGCCTGTTAAAATTTTCCATTGTAAAGTTACTTCTTCTTTCCCCCTTTTCCATATTGACCCGTGGAAACAAGTTACTCTGTATACAGCTTATGCAAAAAGACTAGAGGTATAGGGAATTATCTTCCACATCTTTGAGTGAAGGCTTATCTGCATTATTAGAGACATTCAATTTATTTATAATTTGTCAGCAGGCAAGACTTGCTTATTCTCTTTATTTATTTGATTATTCTATCACTATAGACTCATGGATATTTATTTTGTGACCTAATATAATGTTGCCTATTCTGTTCAAATTGTGCCAGCTTTAGTCATTAGGATCTCCTTTAGTTGGCTCCTATGTGTATTTGACATACCTCACCTGCATCATTTTGTTTTGTTTTATTCTGTTTCCACTGTTTTCTTACTTTTGGGCACAACAAGATGAGCCAAGCTCTTTTTCATATTTCCTGAATATAAAAAAGTCATCCATGGCTTGGGATTTAAATATCAAAATTAAATTGCAGTCAAGATTTCTGTAATCTCCACTTAGATTTTAATCTCCATCATCAAGGTAAACTATATTTGTAATCAAAAAAGTTTTTGTCTAGTTAACAGATTGTCTTTTAGTGTTTCTGTTTGGTTACCAAATAAGAAAAATAATCCAGCTAAGAAATTATTTTAAAATTAATTTTAACTTGGTGGCTTTAAAAAATTATAAGTGAATATGTATTACTTTAATCACCTCTGTCCAAAGACAAAGGACAAAGAGAGATAAAGTCTAATTAGATTAATTCAGTGAATTATCATCTGATCAAATCATGACTATAAGAAATTATCCCTGGCTAAATGTGACATCAAATTATTCTATGAAATAATTAGGAATATGTCCCCTGGCACAAAAGGCTAGCTGTTTCCAAGAACAGAGTTTCCAAATAATGAAAGAACAGCAGCTAAGATTACACCCTGTGCTTTACTTTCATAACTAGGGCAAAAAAAAGAAGATTCTCAACTTATTTATTACCTCATGGGAAATTCAAAATTAAAAGCAACATTGTAGTATCTCACTTGGGAATAGATTAATAGAAAAATTCTATGAAATTCTAAAGAAATATGATAGGAAGTTTTATATGAATTTAAATTTTAACTTAAAGAATTTTAAGGTTCCATTAAAATTATGTGAGATTTACTATTTTGGGCCAGGGGATGGGGGAGAAGAAGATATAGGCAGTAAATTCCTTTTACTCACTTCTCAGTGTAATCCTGTGGGTTTATCCAGAACATTAGGTCCTGGCTATGAACTTCTGTTGGTAGTCTCATGTTGATGAATCATCTCTTGGGAACACATCTGTCATGATTTAAAAGAAGATATTCGTGCTTTTTTAGGTTCTTTGACTTTCTTCTTATTTTACTGGTTTTCTTTTAAAGGTCAACTTCATTTATACCTTTAGAATTCTGTTAGGGTAGACTCTATTTTGTCATACCAGTATCATTGATGTTTTTATTTCGAGGGTTGAGTCAGCAGCATTATCATCAAAGACCACTTCTCTTTTCCCCCCTTGTCCCTTTACATATTTTTTTAAAGTAAGGGTAAGTCATCTAGATCCTAAATTTTTATCTCTCTTTCGATAAAATTTATACTTTCTCTTTTGCTATTCAAAATAAACATATTTTTCATTGTGTGTTTAATTCTAAATTTCTCTGACATAGTATGACAGCTTAAGCTGAAATTCGGCTCTTTATTTTTACAGAATATTTTAGGATATTTAATAAGAGCTAACTAAACATGAATTCATGGTATACTATCAGAAATCTGCTGGTAACATTTACTTTTCAGTTTTTCTTTTATTCCTCCACACGTTAATTTATTGTGCTGAGATCTGTTCTTTTATAATGATACTGTATGAAACACTACACACTAAAGGAATTCAAGTAGAACAACTGTGATGCAAATCTTGCATAAACAAGACAGATAGCTTACTTTCTAATGGAGAATAGCATATGCATATTTCTAAAAGGTAGGATATATTATGTACCAGATGACTGATACTAGTTTGGTAGTCATGTAAGAAGTTGAATGCCAGGGTCAGGAGGAGTCCAAATATTAATTAGCGGATCTTAACTGATTTTGATCAAGAGATGATGGCACATCTTACACCTCAAAGAGGGATAAAGAAAATGATGATATCAGAGATTTGGTTTATGAAAATTTCTGTAACATTGCTGTAGAAAACAGGTAGGGACTTTATAAGAAATGAGTAAGAGGCTTCCCAAGTAGTTTTCCAGATAACTAACAGCATGAAGTTTTATTCGATACAAGGAACCAATTTTTACTGATTACCAGCCATACAGTAGAAACAGAAAATTTGAAGTAAAAATGACCCAGAGTTGTAAAGGAGCTTGTTAGGCATAGAAGAAAACGAGGACTAATCTTGGAAAACTCAAAAAGCACATTAATGGAAAAAAAATTACATGGGTTCAAAGAACTCAATATCTTTTTGTAGGTCTCTTTTTGAGATGGAGTTTCACTCTTGTTACCCAGGCTGGAGTGCAATGGCACGATCTCGGCTCACCACAACCTCCGCCTCCTGGGTTCAGGCAATTCTCCTGCCTCAGCCTCCTGGGTTCAGGCAATTCTCCTGCCTCAACCTCCTGAGTAGCTGGGATTACAGGCATGCACCACCATGGCCAGCTAATGTTTTGTATTTTTAGTAGAGATGAGGTTTCACCATGTTGACCAGGATGGTCTCGATCTTTTGACCTCGTGATCCACCCGCCTCGGCCTCCCAAAGTGCTGGGATTACAGGCTTGAGCCACCGCGGCTGGCAGAAGTCAATATCTTAATGAGGTAGTTTTTGAAAGGAGGAAGGATTGACTGATAGATGTGGATGTGGCACTATGTGCTTAGTATACTGTGATGCTTAATTTTATGTGTCAACTTGACTAGGTTATAGTGTCCAGGTATTTGATCAAATACCAGTCTAGATGTTGCTGTGGAGACATTTTCATTTTTTAGATGTGATTAATTATTAAATCAATAGACTTTGAGTGAAGCCAGTTACCCACCATAAACTGGGTACGTACAGCATACTCAGTTGAAGGCGTTAAGACAAATCAATGAGAACCCCAAGGGAGAAGAAATTCTGCGTACACACTGCCTTTGGACATGAGCTGCAATATTTACTCTTTGCAGGTCTCCAGTCTGTTAGACTACCCTGGGGATTTCAAACTTACCAGACCCCACAATTTTATGAGCCAATTCTTTGAAATCTCTTATTCTCTCTCTCACTTTCTCTGTGTGTATATACCTACACACACACCCCTCCTATGTTGCTCTGAAGAACCATGCTAACACACAGTTAAACACATAATTCCTAGCTCTAAACACTGAAAGAACATAGATGAAATGGCACACTGTAGCCGTAAGTACAGCCAGTATTCATATCTTTGTTTCTCATTACCATTCTCCAATAAATGATACTAGGTTCCTTGGCAAAATGTCTGATTCTGGGACTGAGGCATGGAAAGTGTGAGATGAATCTGGAAACTCTTACAGTGCCAGAAAATTAAAATGTGATCTAAAAAAAAAAATTGAGGCATGTTGAAAAGACACAGGAACTAAGTCGAAAGAATTTCCCATAGTCAGATTTGGGAAACTTTGAGCAACAAATTAAGTAGGATCCATGACATAAAATAAATACCCATTAGTTTATATTGATAAAAATATATCTTTAAATAAAAAATAAGATACAGCTCTATACAGTAGAATTCCAATGAATAAATGCAGAGGGAATGATGGAAATATAAGGTCACAATTGGCATAGCAATAATTGTAGCAGGCAAGGATCATCAATAGTAGCTAAAACTGAACTGGGTGCAGTGGTGTGCCTGCAGTTCCAGCAACACACAGGATCACTTGAACCCAGGAGTTTGAGGTCAGCTAGGGCAATCAGACTCTGTCTCTTGGAAAAGTTAGTTACCTACACATCTACAACCATCTGATCTTGGACAAACCTGACTAAAACAAGCAATGGGGAAAGGATTCCCTGTTTAATAAATGGTGTTGGGATAACTGGATAGCAGTGTGCAGAAAGCAGAAACTGGACCCCTTCCTGACACCTTACACTCAAATTAACTCCAGATGTATTAAAGACTTAAACATAAGACCTAACACCATAAAAACCCTAGAAGAAAATCTAGGCAAAACCATTCAGGCCTTAGGCATAGGCAAGGACAAATAAAACACCAAAAGCATTGGCAACAAAAGCCAAAACAGACAGATGGGATCTAATTAAACTGCAGAGCTTCTGTACAGCAAAGGAAACAATCAGAGTGAACCAGCAACCAACAGAATGGAAGAAATTTTTGCAATCTGCCCATCTAACAAAGGGCTAATATCCAGAATTTACAAAGAACTAAAACAGATTTACAAGAAACAAACCCATCCAAAAGTGGGCAAAGGATGTGAACAGACACTTTTCAAAAGAAGACATATATGAGGCCAATAAACACATGAAAAAATGCTCATCATCACTCATCATTAGAGAAATGCAAATCAAAACCACATTGAGATACCACCTCACACCAGTAAGAATGGCGATCATTTAAAAATCTGGAAACAACAGATGCTGGAGAGGATGTGGAGAAATAGGAACACTTTTACACCGTTGGTGGGAGTGTAAACTAGTTCAACCATTGTGGAAGACAGTGTGGCAATTCCTCAAAGACCTAGAAATAGAAATTCCATTTGACCCAGCAATCCCATTACTGGGTATATACCCAAAGGATTATAAATCATTCTGTTATAAAGACACATGCACATGTATGTTCATTGCGGCACTGTTTACAGTAGCAAAGACCTGGAACCAACCCAAATGCCCACTGACAACAGACAGGACAAGGAAAATGTGGCACATACACACCATGGAATACTATGCGGCCATAAAAAACAATGAATTTGTGTCTTTTGTAGGGACATAGATGAATCTGGAAACCATCATTCTCAGCAAACTGACACAAGAACAGAAAATCAAACACTGCATGTTCTCTCTCATAGGAGGGTGTTGAACAATGATAACACATGGTTACAGGGAAGGGAGCATCACACACTGAGATCTGTTGGAGGGGACTAAGGGATGGACACTGTGGGGTAGGGAGTTGGGGAGGTATAACATGGGGAGAAATGCCAGATATAGGTGATGGGGTTGGAGGCAGCAAACCACATCGCCATCTCTGTACCTACCCAACAATCCTGCAAGTTCTTCACATGTACCCCAGAACCTAAAGTGTAATTAAATATACATTAAAAATTCTACAGGGCTTGACAAATGCATAATAATATATATTAACCATTAAAGTTAATTACCTAAAAATACCACGTACTTTACCTATTTATCCCTCTCCTTCCTCTTTGCTGACTGCCACTGATCTAAAAAGATCTGTAACACTGATTTGTTAAAAATTGTAAATGAAAACTATTTCTATAGTTTTTTCTTTTCAAAAATTGTATATAATTAAAATCATACAGCACACAGCCTTTTCATACTGGTTTCTTTCACATTGCAATACACATCTAAATTGTTTTAATGTCTTTTCATGGTTTATAGCACATGCATTTTGTGTTGCTTTTATTATTTTTAGTGGCAACATAATTTTACATATTTATGGACTAAGTATAACATTCAGATACATGTATACAATGTAGAGTGATCAAACCAGTGTAATTAGCATATCCAGCAACTCATTTATCCTTTTTAATGTAAACATTCAAAATACACTCCTAGTAAAATAAACAATAAATTATTAATTATAGTCACCCAATACTGCGATTGAACACTAGCATGTTTCTTTTATTGCTCAATATTTCACTCCATTAATGCACTACAGTTTGTCTCTTCATCCTCTATTATAGAACATCTTGGTTGCTTTAAGTTTTTGGTGATTATGACTAAGACTGCTGTAAACATTCATCTGCAGGTTTTCATGTGCACATAAATTTTCAAAACTGCATAAATACCTAGGTAGGAATATGGCAGCTGGATCACATGGTAAAACTACTTTTAACTTTAAAAGTAAAAACTGTCTTCCAAAGTAGTTGACCTATTTGCATTGCTGCCAGCCATGATTGAGTGTTCATGTTGCTCAGTATTCTCACTGGCATTTGGTTTCATGTTTGTTTTAATTTTAGCAACTTTAATAGATGTGTAATGGTATTTCATTGCTGTTTTGCTTATAATTTCTTAAAGATACTTGATATAAAGTATCTTTTCCTACGCTTATAAGTCATCGGTGTAATTTTCTTCACTGAGCTGTATTCAGATCTTTTGCCCATTTTTAAGTGTGTTGTAT